TATAATATTTACGGCATAAAATTAAAACGATTAAAATGAAACTTCCTAAAATTTAATTTTAAGTTGTAAATACATATTGGTCAAAATAGGAAGCGTATACAAATATATTTCCACTACAAGCTATAAAATCTCAGTTATAACTGGATTACGAAGTACATTTACCTTGATGTATCTTCCTCCTGGTTCATTGATCTCTTCTACTAAGTCAACATTGACCAAGTTCTCAGCAGTGAAATGGTCAAGAGAAGCGATCGGCCGGCAGCCAAGAGTCTTGCAAACAAACTCAATATCTTCACGTTCAATGTCTTTGATCACCATGGTCTTGATTTTGTCCAAAAAGTGTACAGCCAGGTCACTTAATGCATCCCTGCATAAAATAAATGTAATTAAAACATGTCTAATAGCAATGAATCTACAATCAACTAATATTAAATATGAATCAAATTTATAGGTATTTCTTTAAAATTACGACACTGATTATATCAAAACATTTAATAATTTTCATGGTAGATATAGATGTAACTTACCGCAAAATCGACTTCTGTACCAACAAGACATTGCATCCAGCCTTCTTGATCTGTTTGACGATGTTCAAAATATATTGCCGCTCCTCTTTGAGTACACGGTCCATGGCCGCGTAGTCTGATACAATCACATTGTGGTCCATCTACAATTACATATCATAGCATTGGTGACATGAACACAAGCACTGTCTAATGTACAGTTAACTGCATAAGTATGAATACTTTTAAAAAACATCACAAACTGATATTACTTCGTTTTTTTAAATGTTTACACATATCGTTTTTGTTTGTTTGCTGCTTCCGACTTTGAATTCATACTATTGATGATTATGTGTGAATACATTTTTAAGGCCTTTAACAAGTTAATAAAGTTTTGCAAATATATACATATTTCTACAGAAGATTGTATTTCCTTTTTTATAACAGATTTTAATACACATTTTGCTAAAATTTAAGATTTGCTAATAATAATTTAATGAAAAAAACATCTGTTTAAAAACTTACATCTGTTTTTGGTGGAGAAATGCAGAACTGTATGAGTCCAACTTTAGCTTTTTCAATGCGGTGAGGGCCGTTCACATTAGCTGAGCGATGCGGGATAACAAGACCTTGAATAAGCTCAGTATCTTCCACTGTACCGCCGATACGTTCTATTACTTTAACATCACGCAAATCAACACGAGCGCCCACTTTACCGGGAGTAGATTCCATGACTAGAATAAAGTAACATTATTTTAGAATTACTAAAAAAGAAAAATGAAATCACAACAAAAGTTAAAACTAATTTCGGGTAATCAAAGCTGAGAGAAAATGAAAATAAAAATCATTTATTTCAATCCATAAACAGCAAGTTTGCAAATACAGGTAAGATAGAATACATTGGTTATGGATTCAAAAGGATAGTTTATAAGTGATATACAGATCATCTGTACACCTCACACTAGTCCCATATATGTGTGTTTTAAAAAGTTTTATTCAATGAACAACTTACCAGCGCAGATAGCTTGAACAGCAATGGGAGCTAAAATTGATGAATGTTGAGACACAACTTTGGAGTTAAGTGAAGTAGCAGCTGCTTTCAGCAGAGCATCTTCATTGGAAAGGTCCACCGGAATCGACATGCTTTCCACAACCTGTTAACAATAAAGTTATGCACTAGAATGTTCTCTCTGAAAGTAAAAGGTGTGATATAGAAAAGGTTTTGTATTTCATACCTGCAATGCCATTTGCAAAGCCTTTTGGAAACCATCAGAAATAACAGTAGGATGAATGCCCTTTTGTAAGAGTTTCTCCGCTGCATCTAAAAGTGCTCCAGCAATTACCACAACCGAGGTGGTGCCATCTCCTGCTTCAATGTCTTGGGCCCTGGACAGCTCCACCAACTGTAAATATATTAAATAAATCATAACAAAACAAATAACTAACAGCCAATTATTTTTTTAACAAAACTTGTTATCATTAGTGATTAGAATCGTCACTCTTAAATCATTGTAAACCTCTATTTATACCACATCATACTTCATACTAATACAAATGTGAAAGTTTGTATATTTGTTACTATATATCTTTATGTAATGATTGAATGGATCTCAATTAAATTTGCATAGGAACACATAGGCAACTATTTTTTTTGTTAAATCTACACAGATGATTTTGCAGATAAAGTTAGTCAGCAAATAAATTGAATGTATTAAAACAAAAAGTAAATACCATTTTAGCTGCTGGATGAATAACACTCATTTGTTTTAAAATAGTTGCACCATCATTTGTGATAGTGACTTCACCATTGGCTGATTGAATCTGTAAAGACAAAAGTATAACTAACAACAGGGGTATAAACAAAATCTTTATATTAGTAACTTGATATAACCCTTTGCAAAATCGCATTCATCACATTACACACCATTTACTTTTCTTGACAAAGAATTTATTTAGATCCAAATTAAATAATATTAAACTTTGGTATTGAGTTTCCTCTACTCATTGCTATATAACATATACAGTAGAACCTAGATAACTCAAACCTCGGTAACTTGAAAACCTCTATAACTTCAAAATATATATATAATATATTCCCTTCCTATCAGAGCCCAAAACCTCTATAACATAGACCCTTGATAACTTAAAACCTCTAACTTAAATATTTTGTGTTTCTCTTGGGTTTTAACTTATCGAGGTTCTACTGTACAAAGTAAATACAATACCTCATAACATACAATAATAATCTTGTATGATAGACATCTCACTAACCATTTTATCCATTCCACGGGGTCCCAAGCTTGTGCGGATAGCATCTGACACAGCTGAAAATTATGTAAAAAGGATTATAATATAAATCAGGAATTAACGTAAACAGTGTGTGATTAGATTTGATAAAATTATATGTATACAATGAAAAATTTTATATGGATTTTAAATATTCTTGTTCATATTCATTACTTATGATTGAAAAATGATGTAATAATGTATAAAATAGGTTTTAAAAGACATAATAAAAACAGTCAACAGTCAGACACTAAGCTGTCATAGTACAATTACCTAAATTATAAATTTCGTTTGCTAAATGTACTAAACGTGTACAAGAAAAAATATATTAGTCTTTAAGCGGGAATTCAATATAATGTTAGTTTTAATCATAAATAATTACCTTTTGCGGCATTTATATTACTTAGTCGAACATCAGTTGGTTTACTCTTGTTTTTATAAACCGTCGAATTAACCTTGGCTGAATCTCCGCCAGCTTTTGGAGCCATTTTATGTGATAAATATTTTCACTTTTGTGTTCGGTTAATATCAGATGCTTTTGGATTATTTTCAAGAACCCCTGAAACGGCCAGAAAATATTCTAATTTGACATTTACAAAAATCTGTCAAATGTGAATGACATTATTAAAAAAACAAAAGCACATGATAAATATCACAGACTAATAAATACTTTTTAATTTTAGTTAAAAATAAGTTATTTGGTTTCAAACCTAAGGAAAACAAGAATATTCTCTTGATTTTTAATTGAAACCGTAATCTGCCAATTTAATCGTTGAGCCGCAGCTCAAAGCATTAAGGATGCTGAACTTTTGAAACTGTTGACTTACCACACTTGACAGTTGAAGTGTTTGTCAAAAAGAGCTTGTTCGCTTCGCTTTTCCCGCGTAAAAAAGTTGTGTCGAGTCTGTTAGAATTTACTATTTTTTCTCGTTTACCTGTTCTACTCACCTAATATTTGTGTGTTAATAGTCAGAAAATAATTTACTCTGTACTTTATTTAGAATTTCAAGAAGAAACAAACTTCGAAATTGTGTTTGTATATAATTGTGCTGTGCAAATTTTCACATCATGGTTGGAAAAATCAACAAATTATACGTATATAAGAGGGGTAAGCATTTTATTTTACAGTAAATTTGATAAGAATAATCAGCATTGATTTAAAACACATACCATCCTTGTACTGACCTAAAGAAAAAAGTAGGTGCTTAAAAAACTAATTTTGTTAGTTAACTAACCAAACCAGATAACTGTTCATATATGTTTCATAAACATCTATCGACTTAATGCAAAGAGGATACAGGAAAGATTATGATATTTTCATTCTGTATGTTTCTTATTCCTCCCATTTCAATCCTTGGTAAGGGTAGGAATGCAAGTAGCTCTTCAGCACCTCACTTGTCATATGCAGCTACGGTCTTATGGAGCCTACTCATGCAATAACATAAGTTGTTGTGTTTTTTACCATTGTCCTTTCTACCAATCCATACCAATGATGCTATATATATGAGGGTTGGTCTTACTAAAAGCTCAGTTGTTCTTCATTCTATTATTCAGTTATTCTCCTACTATATCCTCAGTTTTTATGCACTAAAACAATTTTTATCTAGTTCTATTTGAATTTCCAGGTGGTAGAATGGAAGAGGTACATATAGATAAAATAACATCAAGAATAAAGAAGCTTTGCTATGGATTAAATATGGATTTTGTTGATCCTGTAAGTTTGTTTTTTTTTTGCTTAATTTCCATATTACAATCAATGTTTTAAATATCAAATCAATTATGTTTATTTCAACAGGTGTCAATAACTTTGAAAGTCATCAGTGGCATTTACTCGGGAGTAACAACTGTGGAATTGGACAATTTAGCTGCAGAAACTGCTGCCACTATGACAACAGATCATCCAGATTACGCTGTACTAGCTGCTAGATTAGCTATATCTAATTTACACAAAGAAACCAAGAAACATTTCTCAGGTTTATTCATTGTCACTTATTTTTACTGAAAGTTTCATATGTAGTAATACTTGTGATAATATTACTACTTTTCATTCTCTTAGACAAAATAGAGACTACCATATAAGTATTAAAATACATACCATACTGCTTTCCAAATTAACAATTAAGCCCCCATGTACTTCAGTTTTAAGTGTATAGGCAAAACTTAGAAATGTACAGGTCCAGAGTTCAGTTTAAATTGAACATAGGCAGTGTGCTTATCTCAATTTTAACAACAATGAAAAGTATATTTTAATAAAATATGATTACATACATTTTAGATGTGATGACAGATCTGTACAACATAGTAAACCCACACACAAAGAAAAGATCCCCGATGATATCAGATTTCCACTACAAAATAATAATGAATAACAAAGAGCGACTGGATTCAGCAATTGTGTATGATAGAGATTTTAAATATAATTACTTTGGTTTTAAAACACTGGAACGATCATATCTACTTAAAATAAATAATAAGGTATGTAAGAATTTTTAATAATTTAACATAGAGACTACTCTTCTGGAAATAAATTGGCAATCTATAGATTAACATTAATAAAATCTTTGTTGATAATGATAATTTTTATATGTCTTATTTTTTTTAGTATTCCTTTTGAAAACAATGAAAATGCACTTTTATTATTTTTTTCAAATGTTATATGAAATAATATTTGCTTTTTTGCTTTATCATCAATCTTTGGATATCTTAAGATGAAAAGGTAACAATTGCATTAATAAGAGTAGCTCAAAATTAAAACAATATGTATTATAAACTTTGTAATATAGAACAGTATTTTTATATATTTTATTCTTGAAGCGTTTGACATTGTATTTCATTGAAATTTGTTTTCTAGATTGCTGAAAGACCCCAGCATATGCTGATGCGGGTCTCAATTGGAATCCATGGTGAAGACATTGATTCAGCCATTGAAACCTACAACTTATTGTCTGAAAAATACTTTACACATGCCAGTCCCACATTATTCTCTGCAGCAACTCCGAGACCACAATTGTCTTCTTGCTTCCTCATAGCTATGAAAGATGACAGCATTGAAGGTATATATGACACACTAAAACAATGTGCATTAATCTCAAAATCAGCTGGTGGCATTGGACTACATGTTCATTGTATTAGAGCAAAAGGTACTTATATAGCAGGTACTAACGGTGTATCCAATGGTCTTGTACCAATGTTGCGAGTGTACAATAATACAGCAAGGTATGTTGACCAAGGAGGCAACAAACGACCAGGTGCATTTGCTATTTACTTAGAACCCTGGCACTCTGATGTGTTTGAGTTTTTAGATCTGAAAAAGAATACTGGCAAAGAAGAAGTCAGAGCCAGAGAACTATTTTATGCATTATGGATCCCAGATTTGTTTATGAAGCGTGTTGAAAAAGATGAAATGTGGAGTTTAATGTGCCCTCATGATTGCCCCGGTCTTGCCGACTGTTGGGGAGAAGAATTTGAAGCATTATATGGGCAATATGAAGAGGAAAAGAGATTTGTTAAGCAAGTCCGAGCTCAAGAACTGTGGAAAGCAATCATAGAAGCACAAGTGGAAACAGGCACACCATATATGTTATATAAAGATTCTTGTAACAGAAAAAGCAATCAAAAAAATCTTGGCACCATTAAATGCAGTAATTTGTGCACAGAAATTGTTGAATACACTTCAGCAGATGAAGTTGCTGTTTGTAATTTAGCTTCTATTGCTTTGAACAGGTTTGTTAATGAAGATAAAACATACAACTTTACAAAGTTGAGAGAAGTCACAAAGATAATCACACAAAACCTTAATAAAATTATTGATGTTAATTTTTACCCAGTGCCAGAAGCAAAGAATTCCAACATGCGCCACAGACCAATTGGGATTGGAGTGCAAGGGTTAGCTGATACATTTGTTCTGATGCGCATTCCTTATGAAAGTGACAAGGCAATTAAACTTAACCAACAAATCTTCGAAACGATATATTACGGAGCATTAGAAGCCAGTTGCGAACTGGCGCAAAGAGAAGGAGTTTATAGTACATATGAAGGAAGTCCAGCAAGCCAAGGCATTTTGCAATATGACATGTGGGATAAAACTCCATCTGATCTCTGGGACTGGTCTGTTTTAAAAGAAAAAATTGCCAAACATGGGCTGCGCAATTCGCTTTTATTAGCTCCAATGCCTACAGCGTCTACAGCCCAAATCTTGGGAAACAATGAATCCTTTGAACCATTTACATCAAACATTTACCAAAGACGTGTTTTGTCTGGGGAATTCCAGGTTGTTAACCATCATTTGTTGCGAGACTTGACGCAGGCAGATTTATGGGACGACGACATGAAAAATCTGATAATTCACAACAATGGTTCCATTCAAAATATCGAGCGTATACCAAAGGACATTAGAGAATTGTATAAAACAGTTTGGGAGATTTCTGTTAAAACTACAATTAAAATGGCTGCTGATCGAGGTGCATTTATAGACCAAAGTCAATCTTTTAACATTCATGTGGCTGAACCGAATTATGGAAAATTGACATCAATTCACTTTTACGCATGGAAAATGGGTTTGAAAACAGGAATGTATTATTTACGTATAAAGCCTGCTGCTAATGCTATTCAGTTCACGGTTGACAAATCTAAAGTTAGAGGAAATAATGGAGGCACAGAAAATGATGATAAAAACATGTCCATGATAGCTTGCTCATTACGGAATAAGGATGATTGCTTAAGTTGCGGATCGTAAGCCCAGTGTTAGTTCATTTTTAATATTACATTTAATTTTGCATAGTTAATGTTACTTGAAATCTTGTACTTAAAGCTTGTCATCTAAATCAGTGTTTTATATTATAACTGTAGGACCCCTTGGCATGATAATAAACATGATCAATCAGTTCAGGTACTTGTTTCCCTTTTTCTTATATAATGAACTAGGTGATAACAAACTCGCTCTCATCTTGACCTACATGCATTACCAGGGGCATTTACCACTGATTTAAATCAAAAAATTTTATTATAGAAAAAATGTATCAACTGCACAATAATTATTTTAATATATGGAGAACATTAATAACATGAAACATTTCCTGCTAATTTAAGTAAACCCTTTTTATCAATGAATTGTTTTTATTTTTTTATAGTTTTTGCCTATAGTTATGCTCACTTCATGATATTTATCTGGTCATATTGAATATCTCAAAGTTTGCTGTATAGTTATGTTATAGTTTCCATGTCTATTCCATGCCTTAAGTCTACTTTGCCAACATTTAACAATCATTATGCTTTTATAAACCTCAAAAAAAAAAAAATTCTTAACATTGTTTTAATTATTTTTAAATAAAAGTAACATTTTCAAGTCAGACTTATAGTGAATTCATCAATTTTTTCTATAACTTCGTAAAATTGGATAAATAATGTCCAAAGCTTCACTTATTTCATTTCTTGTCTTTCCACCTGCAACAAAAATGTATATTTTTTAAATGAGACTTTAATTTATTGAGCAAAATTTGCAAAATAAGGGTTATTAGAACAGATGAGAATTTCACCTAGACTATGAGGTTTTAAATATATTTTGTTTTCTCACCTGTGAAAACTATTTTTCCATTGACAAATATGAGTAATACAACTTTGGGGCGCACCATTCGATAGACCAGACCAGGGAATAATTCAGGTTCATATGATGAAAATTGACCATGCGCCTGTTGTAATGATTCCAACCTTATTGGAAATCTAAGATCAGCTGTAGCTATGAAGTTTTGTATTTTAAAATCCAAGAATTTAGCCTGTAAAGATAAAATTACACATTTCAAATTTTTTATAGCCACAGAACATGTGTATATAAAGTGAATATACTGACTGGAAATCCTAGTTTTTGAATAATTCTAGCAAATTTTCTAGCAGCGATATATGAATCATGTTCATTTCTAGCTCCTGTACATACTATTTTTCCAGACCTGAAAATTAAAATACTATTACAATATAAACAAACAAACTTACATACATCCTGCCATACATTTGTTTGATGTCTCAATAACTGCTAACTCAAGAGTCATAAAGGTATATTTTTAATCCTAACCCATTGTAGTAAGGAAATGTAAAATAAACACTTTGAAATGGAAACAATCCATTTTACCAATATTTAATAAATTACCTGAAAACCAAAGCTGTTGCCCGAGGATCAAGTATTTTCATCACAACACCTTGAAATCTGGCGGGATTATATTCTGAGAACCTTGTGCGACTATAAATTTCTAAAAGTCTTAATTCACACCCCAAACTCACAGATGAAACACAATTTCTGAAAATAAAGTGAAAGGGGACATGATCAAGAAAGGAGTGAACTGAAATGACATGGAGGATAAAGACTGGGTGTTCCAACCCATTGTTAAATAAATAAATAAATTTGTTTATTTGATTGTTGGCTATATAAGAACAAGGAGATGATGTTTGCATGTAAGAAACTTACTGTAACTTTATACTACTCTTTGCTTGACTAGTCTCAGTTGCAATTGGAGTAATGGCAACCATTGCATTGTGAGGGTTATTGGTTTGTGGTGTAAAAGTTCTATGTGTGGGTGTTAGTGACACATCACCCATTATACATGTTTGTACGGGAACCCTCTGTGGGGTATTCAGTATCCTTTCAGATTCAGCTTTTTGTTGAGGTGTACTATGGACACCTTTGCTAATATTTACATTCATGTCATCTTCTACTTCGTTATTCACAACTTGTGATTTTTCATCATTGCCTAGTTTTTCGTTAATTTCTTTGCCCTTATTTTCATAAGAACCATTAATTCTAACCTCCTATAAAAAATAATTATCAATTGAAGAAAATTTGCATTGGTACGGTTTCACATGAAAGTTTAATAAAATAAATAAAATCAAGCTCATTAGTCTATTAAAAAGTGTATTCGAATTTATATTTATTAGTTCAAATCATTGCAACGTTAGGACAGGTAAATGAATCTATGAGGACAGCCTTTACTTTTTAGTGTCATATTTACCTGCATGTGTTCAGAATTTTCTTGATCAATACCAGACCGAAAAACTAAGCTTTCTTCATTCATTTTGGTTTTTATCTAAATATTCACTCTCACATTGAAAATATTAGCATGCATTAGTTAAACATGAGAAGGAGGAATAGTCCAAATTCAGTAAATAAAAATCACTTAATATGAAGATAACTACAATAATTATGTTTATGCAATATACACTGCATAAGTATTTTAAATAATTTTGTATCATGAAATACAATGGTATACCCGAGTATACAACTTTTAAGTCAATATTTTACAATAACACTCATATTAAGTATTGTACAGTGCAGAGCATATCAGTTATCAACTCAATTGTCAACTTTGATACGAATATGACATTGACACAAGACGTCCAGTTTATAGAACGCCGTAGATTTTTTAAAAGTCTAAAAACACAATTTATTTCTTTTCAGTTTCCGTGCTTTAATAATCTTAATGCAATTTCTCCAATCTTTTTCAAATATCTTCTTTTACACTACTAATTTTTACAGTAATAAATGAATTGTTTTCCTGAAAATCCTGTGAAACTGGCAAACTTTTCAATCATCTGTCAGTCAAGGAATAAATGTAAATATACGTTATTTTTTCAAGTACCATTATTTTTTATTTATTTGTAACTATATTCTTTAGAATTCGCCTAACCATCGAAGTGGATAAGTAATAATGAATAAGAATGATTTCTGTGATAATAAATGTAGTCAACTTCCTAGCAAATATTATAAAATGGCTATTTATATCGGCATCGATTGTAGGAGAAGTAATAGTAAAGACTGTGACGATAATATTTTCATCGGTTTTAAGTAGTGTAGAAAATATTCTTCTGTTTTTTCAAATAGTGTATGAAGATAACGTTTACATTTTCACTGAAGACATACCCAGTTCGACTGGTGAATTCTTGGATTCTATGGTTAAGCATTGTATTCAACTTCATAATTACTTTAGTACAGTATGCTATAGTATGCTAAACGATTTTAAAGTATTTATTAGTACTATCAGATGGTCCTTTGAGGAGCTTTTGATGATGGTCACAGAATTTATATTGTTATGGAAGAAAACATTAATATTTTTGGGAGAAACTTCATGGCTGGTGGTGACATTTATACCTGTTCAAGTGCCTCTTTTATTATTGGAAGTATGGAAGAAGTTTAGAGATGGTTTGTGCTGCTGTGCTCTAGAAGCATACACAATTGTACTCAGGTTTACAAATTTTTTGACTGATGTACCATTGGAATCATTTATAGGATTATTAATGGCTATTGTTATTGTGAGGTTGTCACTACATTTTAGGAACACTTTAAGAACACAAACTACTGCACTATATTGGGTATTAATAAGAAAAGTTTTGTATTTGTATTATACAATTCATAATTATTTTTATGATTATGAAACAAGAGTTATATCGCGGATGGTTGGTGGCCAACAATTAATGACAAGAGATGATGCAAATGCTCAAATATATGAAGAAAATGGTGCTGATTCATTATGTATAATATGTCAGGAGCAACCGAAGTGTGTTTTAACTTTGCCATGCCGCCATGTTTGCTTATGTACTGACTGCTGCATGAGGCTTTATGGATACCAACGCACTTGCCCTATTTGTAGAACTTTCATTTATCAATCGGTAAATGTTTATTTGTGATTCAGATATACATTCCTCCTAGAAAGGTGATACCAAAATTATGAATAAAACAAAAAAATTAAAATTATGCCATGTATTTAATTGATACCATAACATTTTCCTTATTTTATTGAACAATTTATACCATTACTTAAGTCTACACAATAAATAAAATGTACTTTAATTGGTGCTTTCATGACTCCTTGTTCTTTGGAAAGTAATTACAAAGTTATTTGATGGATCAACATTGGCAGAAGTTCTCCTTCTTGCATTTAAATTTAAATCTTTAAATGTTAAATGAGCATCTTTGAATGCATTCAAAGTGAACACAGCAACCATTAATATAAGGAAACCACAAACGCAACCTAATATATCCCTAACATCAATTCGATCCCATTCTTTAAACAATATACCAGAAGAAATTATAACTAATACAGTGAATATCACATAGTAAATTGGTGTTACAATACTAGTGTTAAATATATCTAGGGACTTATTTAAATAATTCATTTGTACCATTATGCAAGACACTGATAACAATACCAATAACCAGAATATGTAATTATTAAAATTATTGGAGCCACCTTCAATAGTTTCTTTAACACCAAGAGCAACTGCTTTACAAAATACAACAGTCAAACTCCCAACACCAGAACATATCAATAAGTAAACAACAACATTGCTATTACCAAACCTTGGGACAAACACTATTTTGACTATTAAAGTCATAATAAAAATTGTCAGAACATATGAAATGAAAAGAAAATCAAATAACTTATCATTTAAATCAGAAAATTCTTGAACTTCTTCGGTTTTTGGTGAATGTATAACAAAAATTATAGAGCCAATGATACAAAGGAAGCAACCAATCTGAAAAAAGAACATATCATTAGGAAAATAGACTTTACTCATCTTACTAATATAATAAATGTGAAAGTTTGGATGGATGTTTGTTAGAGTTTGTAGCTGAAACAGTTGAATGGATCTCAATAAAATTTGGCATAGACTTACAGGATACTCTGGAAGAACACAAAGGTTAACGCGGACGAAAGCTTAGAGAATTTTAAATTTGAGATAGCTGTGAAGCAAGTTATACCTTTCCAATGAAGTTAAGTTTTTCATGTAAAAACTTTGATGAAAGTACTGCTGCAACAAGTACACTGAGAGCTCCCAAAGGTGTAACTAATGCAGCAGGTGCAAATGCATAAGCTAATAAATTTGCCGTTTCACCAATACCCACTGAAAAAAATAAATTACATATATATATCTTTTAGTTTTTTCATTTGAAAAAATAATTACAATTAACTTACTTGTAGTTAACCCCAACCACCACATCCATTGCTTTAAATATCCATAGCCTCCAGCTGATGCCCTTACATTTCCAAGGGCATTTATTTTCTTTAATGCTAACTTCTTTATAATGAAACTAGAACCAATAAATATACTTGATGATATGGCTAATCCCAATCCCAGTAAGAAATGTAAATGGTTATATCGCGAATCATTTTCCACATCATCAGAATTCATTATATGTCATTAATATTTTATGCGGACATTAAAAAATTATTTATAAAACTTTAAAGCAAAAAGTTAAATAAAATAATACTCTTCATCACAGCATTGGAATTGTAAATGAAATCATCGTTCCTTTGTGCTATAAAATGTTGCACTAATTATATCGAATTTTCACAGGGTCTATAATAACCGGCACACACTTTATCGTTTGTGTTAACTTTTATGACTAACTAAATAAAAAAAACTATTTCCGTTTGGAATTTTATCAGTTAATGTCAAAATGATAAGATCAGTGTTGCTATAATAAAATAACGTATGTTAAAAAAAATCTGTAAGAACCAAACACAGATGTAAATATAACAAATATTAAAGTTTTGTACATATTTGTTTTTTTCAACAAAGTATCATCACTACTTTCTGAGGTTTCATCATGTTTTTATTTTATAGCATTAGTTCACATTTAGCTAGTTATGCTCTATTACATGTGTGAACTGGCACCAGTGAGTTCATACAACTCATGCCTTTTTTTTTCTCGCTGGGAAAATGCCTTTACGCATCTTACACATATACCTCATGCCTAGCCCAGCCTGCGTGACTGTCCATATGTACAAACAGTGCCTCTTTCCTGTATTTCGACAATGTTGTTTATATCATGAAAATTAAAACAACATACAATGTGAATAAACCCTATTTAAAATCAGAAGCCAGAGTAAAAACCTCCAGAGAATAATACGAAACATGAATAAAATCAACACATTAAAATCTGTCAAGTCGTTTATAGCCTACTGCAGAAAGCAGGCACAATGGCTAGGACATTCATAGGCTCACAAGAAATGTTGTTGGACTTTAATTGGCTTTTTTTGTCCTGTAATAAAAAGCTAAATTAAAATTTAATATAGTTTTATTTACAATAAATTATAAATTATCTATTATTCATAATCACCAATTTATTTTCTAACATAACTATAATACAATCTAAATCATTTACATAATTAATTTTCAGTACAGTAGTACATCATTTATGAAATATTGTAAAAATCACAATTATTTATTCCCTCTTCACAGTGTCCAAGCGCAAATATATAACTTTAATAAGGTTGTAGTGTATTTGCTATACCATAGTACCCCATCATAACTCTTTAATTATAAAGTAACCTTTAAAGTTTTTTCGGGTTACTGCAGTTTTTTAAAAAATAAAAGAAATATTACATCTCACTAGAATAACATAGATTTTGGAAGAATATATACTGATTTCCATAAATATAAATAAAACAGTGAAATGGTGCATAAAATATAATAAAAGGTGCCTGAGGTGTATGAGCCAATCTTTCAGATTTGAATAATTAAAATTGGAACTAACACTGTCAACATTATTAAGAACCCTAAATGTAACTTTTACATAATTTTTAATTTGAATAGCCTATGACAATCAAATATTGCATGTATAAATTTTAAATTATTTGTATTCTTTACCTAGCTTTACTAAATCATTTTAAATCTAACAGACAACTATATCATTAGACAACTTTTAAATTTCAAAACATTTTTAAGCCATAAATATAACAAAGAATATAAAGAAAAATATTAATACACCAAATACTTTAAACATTAAAGCTCTATTGTTGGTTATATTTTGGAAATACTTTAATATTTCTCTGTGGCCAGCTTCAACATTCATTTCTGCTTCTTGAATGTTTGCATCTATCCTCCCTATTGCTTCATCTTGTTCTTTGACCATGTGAGCCAGTTGTTGGAATATGCCTCCCAATTCCACAATAGTGCTCTCTATATTGTGCATTGTCTCTGCTCTTTGTTGAACATATGAATCTGTATCATCTCTCAATGCCAACTGCTGAGTTTGAAAATGGGAATCTTCACCTAAATCTATGCTCACTTCATCTGGCTGCAATATAGATGGTATTTCTTTGACTACAGGCGCTACACTAGAAAACTGCTCCCTTCTATTATTTTGATGCTTTAAATTTTCGGATCGCACTTCTAAAACCTGTAATTTTTAATATCAAAATTTATAAACAAAACAAGGCAGGCACAGCCTATATGAAAATTAAAAAAAAAAATAGAAATCAAAGTCGCATAATTTTATATGCTTTAAAAAATCATAATGCCTTGTTTTCATAATTCCAGACCAGCACCTGAGTGTGACAAGAAATATGTAAACCTACTGGTACATATACCAGAGTGGTGATAAAGTAAGCAGTTATAACAGTGTTGGTATTATATACTAAGTTAAATTATGTATGTAAGCTTATGAATTACAAGTACCTGTTTAAATTGATTGCTCATTGATGCCAATCTTGATTGAAGAGCTAAAACTACGCTGGAAGAATGACTATGCATACTGCGACGGCCCTTAGGCATTTCCCCTAATCTAGCTATTTGTTGGTTTAATGAGTTTAGATCACCCTTTATGATGTATGTTAACTCATGTATCTCCACTGGTCTATCATCAAAAAGAGATTTCTTCTTAGCCACTGAAAAATAATTAAATTTGAAGTTTAAAATATTTATAATAAGAATATATTTTCTTCTTTGTTATATTTGTGTCTGTGATAGTGAACCCTTACTGTTAAATATGCTTCTCTTTTTATAGGTGAAGTGGACAAATAAAGTGATGCCTAAATTTAAGTGATCAACACCAATCCCAAGGATGTTCATTATTAATGATTATGATGATGTAACCACTATGTATCATATCAAAAAAATAATATTTAGCTATAGCTGCACAGTCTTTTGCAGTGAACAGACTACAATGATCTTTTTTCTTTTTGTTTTAACAATTTGTGAGTTGAAATTAAGAGTTAACAATGTTTATTTTGTGTTTTTCTTTTTGTCATTTTGTTAGTCTAAATTTACAGTATTACTACCATACTCATACAAGGAGTCCCTCCTCCAAAAGGAGGAGAGTGGAGTGTAGTTTTAAAAAAGGAAATCTACCAAAAGCAACTCTGAGTGGGGAAAGTTAATATAATATAAGTAGAAAATAAAGTTTAACTTACACATTGCTAGTTTTTCTAATTTTGCATATGTACTGGTAATATTCTTACTGATAACTTTTGCCATACTCATAAACTGTGTATAAGTTTCAAGGACTTCAGCTTTTCGCTTATCTCTAACAACTGGCTTTGCTTGAGTTCTGCTTTGAAGACTGCGCACTGTTGACACAAATTCGTTGGTTCTGTCTCGTGCTGCCATGACTGGTTCGAAAACGATATCCTCAAGAAAGTCAAACACAGTATCGACTTCTTCAGTTCTTAGTATTGGTACAATATTCTTTGGTGTATTTTGTAATGGATAAGGTAAATGTGACTTTCCTTTTTTATCTAGTTTGTTGTACGAATTTTGATCTTCTTCTAAAAAGGGTGTCCGTTCAGGTACACCTACGTTACGACGACGAGGGTGCATTGCATTCTAAGCTAAACACCAACTAAATTAACCAAGGTATTATACAGATTTGAGATATACAACTATGAAATTACACAATGAAAATATGTACATATTACTTTTCTTCTTACAACTTGAAACTTATATATTTGATCGGTGTGGTGATCACTTATTGAAGTTTACAAAAAAAACGTCCTCTTCTAAACTCCAAACGACAGATTAGATCGACGTGTCATATGTCACCAGGGGACCTGTCACTGTCATATCATAGACATGAAAATACAGAACATAGAAAAAGTTTTTTTTTGTGTCTATGCGTTGAGGAAAAGGACATCGAGCTTATGATTTTAGGATACTTCGACACTTCGCCAAACAGCTGGATTACTGAGACAATTGAGTCCTTCCAAATCAACAGAGCAATCTATACTCTATTATTTATTTGTCCATTCTTGAACTTATGTCTTCATTAAATTATGTGAACCTACTAAACTAATACAGAAGCATTTTGCTTGTATTAGAAAGACACAAAAATTAGAGTTAGAAGGTCAGCAACACCTAAGGTTGCAAGCATATGCACCATCTCTCTGCCCTTATAAACATTAACAGTTTTCCTGACGCCAATTTCATTAAAAAGAAAATTGTATATAAAATAATGAAACAAAAATAAAACCAACAATTTTAATTAGTGAGATTATTTTTTATTTATTAACAAATATAAATCGAGATATGAAAATTGACATTCTTAGATCTATTTATAGTTACCATATATACAAAAATATGTTTAGTCTTGAATACATACATAGGCAGCTTCTACATTTGGTTGTTCCAATAAGGCAGCGAGTATAACACTCAATAGAGGGCTTTATTGTTATACATCTAGATACTTAATTGCAAACTGAAAAGTTAATCTACATAAGTCATCAACATAATCCCAGTGACAGGATTTCATCCATACATTTTATGTTTTCTATGGTAATAAACCCTTTATGGTAATTTTAAATATTACAATTTGTGCCATTTACTGGTAAAAGTAATGTTATATTGAAATATATGAATAGATCTTTTATAAAAAAATTAGCTATCAGCAGAAAAGGTGCTGAAATGGATTTTCAGTGTGTCATTAATGAACTTATATACTTTTAATATTTTGCTAACAAACACCTTTACTTATACTACAAAATATATGAAGTCTGTCTATATAATTTAATCTTTGTGGTTGGTACTTATTATATAACAATGTAAAAGTCAAGAATTTACAAAAATTCATCACACCAATCTTTTAAACACTCATAACAATCAGAGGACTGTTTTGAGTTGGCACTACATGTTTCTTTCATCCATTCTTGAAATAATTCTTTGTCTTTCTTTAAGACTAAAAACTGACCCAGCACAACATAAGCCTGAAATCATATTTTAAATATTATAGTCCATTGTTTAAGTCATGTCAATAAAATAGTATACAATTATCCAAATAAAACAATTCAATAACTTTTAAGAGGATTTTCATTATGAAAACTAATATTTTTTTATTTCATATAGGAAGTCAATGTATCACATGCAACAATTAAAGTTTGTTGAGAAAAAATAATTATAACTAAAAACTCATTATCATGGATACACTTACAGGTTAACACAGCTTTATGATAAACAAAAGTACTTAATAAAGAAATGCAAACGGAAAAAAAAAATAATTACTACTAACTAATTTGCCATTATTTTTGCTCACATGTTTTTTAGTGGAAAAGTTTAATTATTTAGAAGTGCACTTTTATATTAACTATGTATTTGCTGTATTTAAATTCAAACAATCAAGATCAAAAAGTCAAGCTGTAGTCACAACAAATCAATTGCGAATCAATGTTATGTCGATTACATTCTTGGATTGAATTGATAAGATGATCTTACGAAAAGAACTTATTGGATATATTTCATTTTTTACGACCCACCAAAAGATTCTATCATAACAATTGAGCATTTGTTAGTGACAATGCATGGTTGATTAACTAACCTTATCAAATCCAGCAGTTTCAAGCCTCTTTCCCAATACTTCACCAACACCGGCTAAGTCTGTTACAGGCTTTTCTCCCATCGGTTCAGCCACAAAGTTTCTATGCTTTTGGGAAGTACTCGACATTTTGTATTAAAATAATAGGACAGAAACAACACACAATTTATTTTTAACTGTTACCGACAATATAAAATATGCGGGAAACTAAGTTGTAACAATAAACACACAGATAAAATTAAAGATCAAAGAGTACATAAATTAGTTCAGTAAGCAGTAAGTATAAAAAATGGATAAAACGACCGTGAACTTTTAATATTGTCGTATGTACAAATCTTTTAAAAATCGTTTGTGATTTTAAGAAGGTTTTAAGACAAAAAAAATATATTTTAGAGATTTTGAATTATTACTTTTTTTGTAAAGATCATTTTAATGTTTTTGTCATGTTGTCGCCTACAACATTTTTTTACTTTCCTATATGCAAATAATTTAATGAGATTTATTACATTTTCAGTAAATGATTACACTGAGTTTTTAAATTGTTTTAATACGAAGTAGTTACATACACACCACAGAGTACTTTGTAACATACTGAAATAGAGACCAATCTTCGGCCTAAAATTGGGTAACACGAAGAAAAGCGCCATCTGTATTTCATAGTTTACAACTTTCTTTCTTTCTTGTTTTGTTTTTATCTTTTTTTTTAATGAAATGGGGCAAGCGTTATTTAAAATAATAATATAGGTTATATAAATATCTAAATATCTATGTTATGAAATATAGATATTTAGATATTTATCCACCTATATTATATCTGTTATAAATATCTAACCATTATGAAAAGATTTATATATCCACCCAAATAGTGTATTATAATACCAATTAGGAAGTAAAAACAAAGGATACTGTTGGACGGTTACTTTCTGCCATCCCGAGCTCTGGAGGTGTAGGTCTATTGAAACACTG